TGTTGGAAAACCCAATTATTTCAAAAATATATTCTGAACCACATTGATAGTTTTAACATGCAGCCATGTAAATGCAATGCAGCTGCTACGTCCCTACGGCGTTCTGCATTGTTTATTTTCATGTAAAGATATACGCTTTGTTCCAGCCAATACACTGGCTGACGGCTTTTGACGAGTTATGATGTAATTTGATATTTCTGTTGTGCGGGAAGTTCCGAAGGATTCTGGTTCGCCCGAGTATGAAACGCGACCGATGTTCTTGGTGAACTTTGAAATCGTGGTAGCTTGTAGCGCATGACTCATTGAGTAGTTTTTTTGTAAAAAAAAATCGTGGTGTTATCAAGTATTGATTGAGGTATGTTTCGTAATGTTGATGATTTATGAGTCATAAGATTGGCAAATTAATCATTTGTGTGGATGGACACACAGATCGTTGAATTTAATTTAATCACGAAATACTGCAGTTTACAATTTTTGTCCTGTAAGTTAAGCTTGGTCTTGGTCAAAAGTTGGCGTATTCGGTATAAATTAGTCTTCCACATCTGCGTACTCTATCGGGTCGGTACTTTTCACATGGAAGGGGAATGCCTAATTCCCTCCATTGTCAAAGTTGCAACTAAAAAGAATCCACCAACCACGGAAATATTAGCTACTATCTACCATCAGCCTCTGGGACTCAAAATGTTAAACAAATTAAAAAGGTGAGAAAATTTAGAAAAAAAAACCTCCATCCTAAATATTGCTTGTTTTAACCGGGAATAACAGTTTTGACTGGTAACTAACACAACTTACATTTTCTAAAAGGTATTTTTTTCAAACAGATCTCAAAGCTCATACGAGCACAAGTGCCATAGAACCGAGTGTCCAGTTTGTAAAAAGGGTTGAGAGCGTACGTGATTACTCGAAGCATACATTACAGCGAGCAGAAGAAGAAAAGGCGTACGGTGGTAGGGGTGGAAGACATTGTGCAAGCACAGGAAGACTAAGTAAACATAGAGGAACAAAAGGGCTAATTAGAGGGAACAACAAAATGGCGGGCGAGGGTGGGGCTTGTGAAGAGTACTTGCTCCTTATAATAGGCTAAACTAGCCTGCGAGTCCTTCTTACAAGGGCTCTTCAGCTGACGAGGCCACGCACATGTTGAACTGCCAATCAGAGCTGCCAACATGTCAGGATGAAATTTCATAACTTTCATATGTATGACAGTGACGTGCTCGATGCTCATAAGTAAATGAGTTTGTATGTGGCGGAAATAGTTTTAGTTTATGAGTACGGGACATCAACAGTAGTAACCTGATAAATAAATTAAATAGGCTATAATGTATAAAATAAAGCATGTTAAGCACATTAATAATTGGTTGAAAACTCGAAAACACGAGTCTACTGTTGAACAACAGATTATACACATGTCCGTGGTCAAACTTATTGCTTTGGAAACGTAGTCTCTAAACTCAGTAAAGTTTTAACGGATATATTTTTATAATATAGACAGTGCATACACAAATAAAAGATTTAATAGTAATTGAAATATCTTTTACTGAGTAACATAATACAAGAATCACTACGACAGTAACGAATTTATTTCTTTACAACATTCTTTACTAGACATTTTCCTACAATAAATTTTTAGTTTTTTACGAGTGACATAACCCAAGGCCACGCTAAAAAGAACCATTTCTCCCTGGGAGGCTCCGGTTCGGGTTTTTTTCAATACACCGCAAAGTAAAATCGTAAACATTTCAAAATATTAAAAATATACCCAATGACTCTTAGTAGCCTGTGTAAGCAAACAAGAAAGAATATTTACATAAAAATCATGACTATGACTGTAATTTGTATTTTAATTAATTTATTCTTTATAAATCATTTTGATAGAAAAACATTTGTCACATTGATGTATTACAAATCAGGGTTTAGAAAAATGAAACATTTACTTTTCTATTGCTAGGACTAACGCATCTTTAGAAAATTAAATTATAACTGAACAATGTAGATAATAGAGAGATAAACATATAGATTAAATTCATATTTGACGTTCTTGAAAGAATTGTTGCCGATATATATGTACAGTATGTGTAAATATGAAAAACACACATTCTTTAATGTAACACTTACTAAAGTTCTCTTGAAGAAAGGCTCTATCTTCACACTATCTGGTGTAAACATGTTTTGGTCGATGTTTTACCTCATCGTCCCCAACCTACCATCAGTTAAGGGTGGGATTAATGAGGATTTACAAAATTTTATTGGAAAACCCCATTTTATCTCTCAATTATAATATGTATAAACGATCGGAAAGTATTTTAACATTTTAAGTCGTCCAATATTAACTTTTATGTCAAAACAGATTCAAGCTGTTCTGTTCTGTAGCTGTAGGATTGGGCTAAGTCATTTTATTCGTAAAAACATAAATATAGTCTAATGTTATCGTATTTCTTTTGTGGTGATTTCTAGTAATATTTTAGTAGAATAATTGAACGGATTTTCTTATCCTAGTAATAATTAGTTAATTCGTCAATTATTTAATTTCTTGCAATTCACACAGTTCTTAATAATAATCGAATTCGCAATTAATATAAAATATATAATTTTATTGACTTTTTACTTAGGTAATGTATTGCCTATTACAAGTAATAATAACTAATCAATAATTTTTTACAAAAAAAAATGACGAAAAAATAGTGCTTTGAAAAATTGGACACTAAAATAAATCTTATCACGGGTCATCGTATGCTACACCACAGATCAAAACCCTAAATCCTGTTACACCCTGTAAATTGTATCATCCTTATGGATCATTTGGAATAAATGTTTAACGTTTTCATCCGGTTTGTGTAGAGAGCGTTTTGTTATTTGGTACCAGAGGGGACCGAGTCCTGCTCAGCAAGGTTAATTTACAGTAATAGTTAAAACAATATAAATTTCAATGTTAAACTAAAGTGTGCAAACAATATTTTGGTACGGTACTTGGGAGATTGATTTTTTTGGGGGAGCCAAATCAAATAATCAGTGTTTTGATCAGAACAATTTGCCCATTGTCGAGTAAACCTCTGTGTAACCTTTGCTCAATAATTACAACTGAATGTTTCCTTTGTTATTGTACTTAATGTTGTCATTTGCTATTATAGGCCTACTGTGGATGGCTTTAATTGTTATAAACGTTATGATTCGTTTGTTTACGTTTTCCTTGACGAAACCGAACCGGACTACTTGGCAAGCAACCCATAACGCTAATATAAACATTTTCAATTTTTAAGTGAATTCTGTGGTGAATATTACGAAATATGAGTTTTCCTGAGGTAGTGGCTTTCGCCAAAGTGTTTAGGCCTACAATTCTCAAACTTTAGCCAAAATTAATCCTTCCGCTGAATTTCGAGTTACATTTTACCATCGATGTATATAACCTCATTTTACAGACATTGAAACACACAAACAGACATAGCTCGTGTTTAAAGTAGGATTATTTGCTTCTTGTTTTTTTACGAACTGAAAACTATGTTAACAAACTAAATTTATCTATTTATCAACTAATGTTTAGAACATTCTAACCAATAAGCGAAGCACAAATAATAAAACCTATCCTAAAATAAGATCAAATATTTTAGTCTGCATGATTTAGATTTTAATTTTAGTACAGGATGAGATGTCTACTTTCCCCAAACTCAATGTCAATTCCAATACACAAACCTTTTTCCACAAAGGCAGGCAATTTCAATACTCCAGTTACAAAGGGAGGCGGCAATAAGCGACACATGTTTAGGCAGGCGGGAGTTGTAGCTGACGAGAGGCAGGCGCTGCGGGGTTTATATGAGTAATAAGACGACCTACATGCCGATTGACTGCCAAGTAGATTTCTGAGATCGTAAACTTAACGGGGCTGCGCCCCTGCGACTACAGCCCTCCCCAGCTATAAACTCTGGTTACATGTGCCTGCCACCCCTAGCATGATACCAGGGTGTGTATGTAGCATGTGTTTATATTAGCGACAAATAGGGGTGTGCACCCACAGATTTCGTGTTTTTGTTGAAGGTAGAAATTGAAGAGGGTAACAGATTGAAAATGGTATTTTAATGAAATGATCTGTCTATAAAAGGAATTTCAGCTATGGATTAAATGTTCAAACTACAGTGGGGTAGAGTTTAGTGATAGTTTTTATGACATTGGTAGGTGTGAAACAAACTTTATTTTGGAAACAGTTAAGTCATTTCTGGCAATTATACATTAATTTGTGTATAAGGGACTCTTCAAAGAAAATATATTTTTAGAAAATGATTTTAACCCGAATGATTGAAATAAATTTTGCCTAAGAAAAACACGTGTTTACAATTACAACTAATGTTCCTAAAAACCAAGAAACACTACTTTTGGAACAGCACATTTTGATGTTGAAAACAGTTTTTTAGTGTTTACGACAGAAATTTTGTTTCCCACCAGTAGTCAGTAAATATCAAAGGGTGTTCCAAACATAAGAAAACATTTGTTTTGGAACAAGGGTTTCTGTATGTTTCTGTATTTCGACACTGATTATATCAATTCCCCGATACTCCCCACGCCTATCCACCACCATGTGACTACCTTACCTCGAGAGGGACTGACCTTGTGTTCTCGGGAACGCAATGATTAAATTGTTTTCAACAAAATGAAAGAAAAGTATGCACTATCTATTGTAAACTTTTGTTTTACAAACAAGTTTTACCAACAAAAAGTAAAGTTTCCAAACATTTTGTTCCAAACTCCGGTGTAAACACGGCTTTTATAGTGCGTTCAAACAGTCGTGGCACCTGAGGGATTAGGAGACCTCGAGGGTGTCCATGGGGTCTCCTAATCCGTCAGGTGCCACGGCTGTTTGAATGCACTGTAGTTGCAGTGATTATTATACAGTTATTGGTTTACAGTTATTGCTAATAAGTGCAGTATTAACTGCAGTTGAAAGAGAAACAACAGCAAATTTGTGACCACGAGATAACATAAGAGATATATAATGTGATGTGCTCTTGTAGGTTGCTGGGATTGCAAGGACCTCACACAGGGGCTGGGCTAGGACTGAGTCACAAGGAGAACTGTCATAGACTGCAGTACTTGGTGGAGAGACAGCAGCAACTTTGTGGCCTCAGTGAAAACATTCTTGGGGTTAGTCAAAGTTGAGATTTATCAATTTTTAGAACCAATGTAGAAAAATGTTATGGTTTGGGACCTATGTTGGCCACAAATGCCAATAACATATCCAGATACTTATAAGGGGCCCTTAACCCTTTGAGCCCAAGGGAATATTCATTATGACTTAACTTGGAGTGTTTTAGTGAATATTATGCAATTAAAATTAATGTACACACATACGGTCAACTGTTACCTAAGTCTTCTGTTTATTATAGCTGTGGACTCCCACCAAACACGTGAAATCCTTTTGCATGAGCTGCACACTTCATTTTATTAATATATAACTAGTGGAACCCCGTCGAAATCGACGGTTAATCTTGAGGTGTTATGTAAATTCAGCTAACTGCGTTGGATAGAGTGAAGTCATTAAAATCTTAGTTATATGAAGGGAGGATAAGCTAAGTAGGCCTATGACGATTGTGTTCCCTAAAAAACGTGATTGATGAATTCGTTTAACACAATATTTCCTACCTTTATTTTTATCGGCTTTAGGTTGCCCAAAAGGTTTTTTAGGAGTCTTATAATTGTTTGTTCATGAGTTTGTTTCATACCAAAGCCACTTTCACTATATGGGAGAATGAGTTCATATAATTAGTCTATCATGTTATGGAAGTTAAGAGTCAATATTTATTACTAACCACTAATTCCATCTGCTTTAGGAAAATCATTCAGATTGTATCCAGATTTATCTTAAAAGATGTAAATCTTCATCTTTTTTTCATAAAAATATCTGATTCTCCAGAAAGCAGTAACATTCTTACTTCGATCTCAGCAATTTTAAATCCTTCTCTTGCCACATCGACCCATGTATGTAATCATCCTGTTCTTACTTGATAATTCATTAACTTATGGGGTAGTTTTGCCTTGGCCAAATAGATCACATAAAGCTGTGCATGTATTTCGTTGATTGGAATGAACCATAATTGTAAGAAATTGTATCACAAATCTTGAACATTTGCGGAACCAATTCCATAAGCTAGTCCAGCATTGGTAACAAATTATGCAAATGCGATGAGATGTGATGACACTGTTGTGTTTCCGAATGTTTTGTATGTAGTGAGGTTTAGATGCGTTGTTCAACCTAGCTACATGTGTACATCAAAGTAAAAACTGTGTACACATTTTTTTAAATACCTGAATTGACATTAGTTCACCTACTTTACGAAAACCATAGACTCCGTAGTTAGTCTATTCCAAAACTTGAACACGGCTCTCATCCTCAACGTAGTCATCTATGACACAATTTTCAACCCGATTATCAAAAACTGTTATGAATCTCAGGTGTTCTTTCTTGAATTTAAAAATAAATGGTGATTGAAAGTAGGAAAAAATGCAAGTGCCAACCTTACAATATATGTATAAGCTAACCCGATAAGGAATAGTTATATGTTCCTTTGAAATTGATAAGTCACACTTATTTCATAATTTAAAATTTTCTAAGAGCAATAAAGCATAGATTTTTGAACAAAACATTTCAAACGTATCATAAATTCATCATTTTGTTGAAACTATAAAAAACTTGCCATGCAGTGGAGAATCCATTTAAAATCATAAATAATAATGTAAACATTTTAATTTTGACAGTTTCAGTAAACCTTTGAACACAATTTTAATATTAACAGCTGGTTCATTAAAAGTAGTGAAAAATTATCCATATGGTCGAAATGTAAACAAAATTGCAGAGTGAACTTTAAAGGCCTCTGGGGCAGAGCCCCAAGGAAATTTACATCGTTTCTCTTTTGAGGGCTCACCTACAGACCAATACCTTTCTTTAGACACCCCTACCAAGTTTCTACGCCCAGCCGTTCTCTCAAAATAGCTGTCATAAAGAAAAACAGTTTCAAATTAAGGAACGCGGCAGCGTTCCGCCCCGCCAAGTCCCCCAGCGGTACACAGCTGCTGCAGTGTATATATACATGACGTGACAAAGTGGCTTTTTTACTCGTCTATAGCTATGAAGAAACAAAAGCTATTAAAATAATTGTTCATCCACTGGATAGGGGCAATCATTCTTGGCAAAATAAAAAAAAGAATTTAAAAAAAGGTTGTGTTTGAGCCAAGAAAAACTAGTTTGAAAATTCACAAATTTTCCGTGTTCTCCTTCTTCTCCTTAAATGTTGACGGACCTACAGCCCAAACCACTGGCTCAATTTTAATGTTTTTTATGTTGTTTGAAAGCCCTTAGCGTGTAGATGTGCCTTTTGAGGGTCACAAGTCGGTGCGTTGACCCATAAACCCTTGGCAAGCCCTCAAAGTACGATTTTGGCCCATTTAAATAACATGGGATTAAAATCAAAACAAAAGAAGGATCAGCTGCGATTAAATCTCAATTAATTTAAAATGTTAGAGAAATTCATAGGATCAGCTGAAAAATTATTTTAAAACTTTTATAAAGTATTTTTTTCAGGTATACCGAATGATTTGAGCTACTTACTATATAAAATTACTTAGAGCAGTGATATTCCCCGATACTTTCCATTGAAAAATGCAGTGTACCGATGGTACACTGGTACAGCAGCTCGTCATTTTTAACAGTTTAATACTACTTATCAAAACATATGAAACCTAGGAACTTGAAACTTAGTACTAGTACTAAGGTTAGTTTTAACATTGTTTCTTCATAATATTGCCAAAATTTATTTAACTAAATAAGGTTAGTTTTATGTTTTGATACACTAAAACAAATAAAACAATCGGGAAAATCCGTCTACGTATGTTAAACAAGCAAAAAAGTGAATGTAAAAAGTGATATGTAAATTTAGGATAAAAATGAGTTTTTCAATATTTGTTTTGCCTTATGCTATTTCTAACAAACCTAATCTGTTTGATTACATTTTTACTTCTCTAATAAGGGCTCAATTTACACTAGTCTTTAGATATACGGGTTTAATTATCGGAACACTTATGTAACACCAATGCATTTTATGTGTAGTTGTGCCCTGGTCTATATATAAGAGAAAAGAGGATTTTTATTTTAACTGTTAATTTTCTACAAAAATAAATACAATCTAACAAAAAACCACTAAGTGGTAACACTTCCCCCGCCAAGTCAGCAACCCAAAAAAGACAATAAATCACCACTTTTCCGCCAAGTAAAACAATGTAATGTATGTAAGTTTGGCCACTTGGCGGCAGACTTTTGTTTGATCACTTTAAAAAATACCATAAAATTATTTTCATTGAGCAAGTATCTCTCCCAATAGTACATTGCTAGATGAGAGCTTATTTTACAAAATTTGACCTTATTTGTGTCACATTTCATAAAATCATAATAGTGATGGTTTTATATTTACTGATTACCTCGAAATTATTATACTTAGTTGGACTAATTAATTAGGGAAGTTGATTTGTGAAATTATCCACCAACGTAACTTTAATGAAAAAAAAACAAGCAAAAGTCTGCCGCCAAGTTGCCAAACTTACATACATTACATTGTTTTACTTGGCGGAAAAGTGGTGATTTATTGTCTTTTTTGGGTTGCTGACTTGGCGGGGGAAGTGTTACCACTTAGTGGTTTTTTGTTAGATTAATATATAGATACGAATCCTTATCTATTGTGCTGTCCTGCTTTCTTCTGGCCAAGGAGACAAAGAGCTCTGTTGATCAGGGCCTGTTGTTCCACTGGTAAACCCAAAGGCCAATCGAAGTACTGTAGTTCTAAACTTTACCTGTAGACTGCAGAACGTCAGTAACAGTTAGACGGTTTTGTTGGGTTACATGGTTGGGGTATGTGACTCTTTGATGGCCAATATATCTATGGGTCTAGAATGGTTTAAGCATAATATTCAAATTAGTTCATTTGGAAGTGGTGAGGGTTTCATTTATTTTTATAACATTTTCTTTTAGAAATAAGAAGAATTCATATCAAAGACAATCTTCATTTTGTGATTTCTGAGGGAGAGTAAAATGTTACTATCAAACAAGTACGGTAGGTGTTTCAAATATAAAATTTTTGTTGCAACGTTTAGAAATAAACAGTAAAATTAAAAAAAGTCTCCATGAAGTCTAAATATAACTTGCCAAATACAAAACTCTCCAATCAGATATTTGGTTGATTTGTCACAAATGTTTTATCCCGGTACCCTATTGTTATTAATTCTCTTGAAAACTACTTCATTCATGTATTTAAAACTGTTAATTCAATTTGCATACCTTTTCCCCAGGCTATTGGCAACGGTGCTAAGATGAGCATAGAGGAATGCCAACACCAGTTCCATATGAGCAGATGGAACTGTACGACATTCAGCAACACCTCTTCTGTTTTCGGAGAAGTTGTCACGATAAGTAAGTAACGTTTGATGTGATGAAGTAATTATTTTTAATGTTTGATAGAGGATATTGATACAATTTTATAGTAAAGAAAGAAGCGTTTGGATTTTGTATTACGGAAAAGACCAACTGGGGTTTGTTGAGTCTGTTGTTCAGTTGACAGCTATAGTTCGGCCGCTTAGAAAACGACCTGCGCGCTAATGCTAAACCAATGCTGGAGGAGGTTGCTTTCTAATCGGCCGAACTATATTTGTCCTTGATCGTTGCTTAAATAATACTCTGGTTACAAAGAATCAGCTGATCATTAACAAAAATACACACTTTAATTACTGCACAGAGAAGTAAAGTAGAGACGATACTTTATTATGGTTATTACGATTGTTATTACGATATTATTTACGATTGTGCGCTTTCCCCGAGCAAGGAAGAGCCTGAATGGCGAGCACTGTGGGGAAAGTTCTATTGCACAGGGCAAAGGGTCTTCCTCTAGCTTGATTGTTGTAGTATGTAATGGAGGGGGAAAAGGAGTACCATGGGGGTTAGGAGTACCGGTAGCAAATAGTGCTAAACACCACTTAAATGTACCAATGAAGGATTCCTCTGCACCTTACTTTCTCTGTGGTTACTAGTACTAATTGTAATTGTTATGTTGTAATTTTTTTTATTTTGTCGGATATATTAGAAATAAGCTGGATACCATGGGAAATTTCTTCGATGCACCAATCTAGGATCTGATCATTACGCTAATGTGCTTAGAAAAGTGAGTTAAGTGGCTTAAATGTAGACAAAAATGAGAGATAAAAATTTAGGAGAGAAATCTTTAATAGAACTTATTTATTTATTAAATTACCAATTAAATCATCTTAAAATATCAATTTTGTAAACAATTAAACAGCTTTATTCATAATGATTCTCAGGCCCAATTGTTATCAAATGTTTCAGTAAATCTACACAAATCACAGACTTTCATTGCTCTTAGGATGGTTCATTTTCTCATTTAGAAGTAACGACAATGAGTAAAAGGACAAAGTACTTAATAAAGTAGCTTATTGCACATAAATGAAATGAGAAAAAGACCATTAACAGGAATTGAGTAAATAAACAGAAGCAACAAAAAGGACATCTAGCTTAGACAGACTCATAAAGTCTAATGGGGTCTTACTGTTTACCTCTGATTCAATAAAAACAGAGTTTAGAAGAAATCACATTTTTGTGTCTGCTAGCCAAGCAGTCTTTACTTATTTGTTTTAATACAAAACACATCATTTGAAATATTTCTCATTTTATCTTTGTATACAAGATGTATTAAAGACTCTAATTTAATTTGACTTATACTATGTTTCCCATCAGTACTTAAAATTAGGAAGTATCATATGGGTCAAAATAAAAAGAAAATTAAGAATGAGGTTTTTTAAACTCCTTTTTAAGTAAAATGTCTGCCATTTTCTAATCTTATTGAAAAAATTATCTAATAAACTATTGAAGAACGAACTTTAAAGTAAGTAGTGAAACTTGGGTACTTTCCTGTTAAAGGGAACATTCATTATTATCGATGATTTTTCTCTCGATATATCGATATTAACAAATTGAAACAAATCAGCTGACAACTACGATAAATATTGTTCAGTATCAACAAACAATAATGAAATGAAGCTGTTCTAAAAAAAAAACCTAACATAACTAACCAAACTTGCTGTAACATTTAAAAATGCCGTGTTTAACTTGCCTTTTATATTATCAAACCCAAACGGAACTTTTAAATGGTACAGCAAGTTTGGTTGGTTATGTTAGGTTAGCTTAGAACAGTTTCATTTTTTAATCCATATAATAGACTATTTTAGCCTAAGATCAGTCAGTTGTTTTCAATTTGTAATGGATCGGAAAACAAAAAAAATATCGATATATCGAGAGAAAAAATTAAAAATTATTTAAGTTAGTGTTTAAAGTATTTACAAACTAATTAAAACAACAAAAATATTGCCAACCTATAGGTATTTTACTCAAGTTTACTGTTATTTTAATTATTTTTTTACTAAAATGACTGAAACCTGACCAATTTTATGAAACACCTTTATTTAGAATTTTAAATTACCTATCAAAGAAGAAAGAACAACAAGTTCAAAATTATTGATAAATAGCTGAAAAACAAAAGTTTTAGTTGCACAGGCCAAGTGCACCCTGACATAGCTTGCATCAACAATCAACTTATTAACCAACTGAATAAAAAACCCTAAATAACAATTTGTTGTATTTTATACATTTTAGCTCATAACATGAACACATTTTGTTAATTAAACTCAAGGTAACAGTGTTAAAACCTCTGATGGATGACAAAAGCGATAAACCAGTCTCATAATACCAAAGTGATGACTTAGCAGATGGTAGTAGTAAAGTAGGGAAGGAGCTAAAGAGACAATAAAGACTCTGAAGGGATAATAAAATGCTCCTATAACACTCCAGAACCCTCGACTGAATTATATTGTAAACTAAAGTCATTGCTCTCTAACCGAACTCTCTTCAGAATATCTTTAAATTGGAAAGTTATGTTCTTTCTAGAATATTTTTTCCTAGTAATCTTTGTTCATGTACGACAATGAAACTTCAGATTTTGACTTTTTTAAACTTTTGGAAATTATCAGTCCTTTTGAGGTTTCTATCTTATTTTGTTGTCGATATTGACCTAGGGCTCTGTCCCCTGGACTTTTAAAAATATTACGTTAACATGAGGATAATTTTCTTCATTTTTTCCCTAGAAAACACCGAAAAACTGTAATTTTTATGTTTTGAGCTTGAATAGCCAATAGTCCATTAAATTAACGGTAAATTTTACAAAAACTGAGATCCATGTCATCTAAAACTACCTATGACTCTCTATTTTAATCTGTATTTACAATAATGTTAGGATTTACAATTAAGTCTTCCTTATTTGAACGTTATTCTAAAACCTTTGGACTTTTTAATAATTGAGGTAAGTGGACAATTGGATTAATATGCATAAAGTAATGTTATCAATTATTTTCTTATATAACATTTTTGGCTGTGAGCCACTTAAGTTTTAAAACAACTAATTTGTAACACTGATGACCAGACACCCTGTATACAAGAATTTGAGTTGGATGCAAACTTTTCTTTATACAGAAAATTCTTCTTTGTGTTGTTAACTCTTTCTTTTGGTAAATATTGTATACTAGCTCAAAATTAACATTTTTGCAGAAAGTCGAGAAACAGCGTTCGTGTACGCGATCTCGTCAGCTGGTGTTGCGTACGCGGTGACCCGTGCTTGCTCCAGAGGTGAATTAACAGAATGTAGTTGCGACAATCGTGTACGACTGAGAAAACCTCGTAAGAACTGGCAGTGGGGAAGCTGTTCTGAAGTAAGTACTTTTACATGTTATTATCAAGTTGACTATTTAATTAAGCTGAATTTGGCCATACATTTTGAGAGCAGTTATGACTGTTTGTGCTCATCATCACCCTAATTTAATTTTAATAACACACAGAATAACTTTTTAGCTGTACTGTATATATAATTTTATTTAGGTTATGTTCGTTTTTTTAGTTATGGTAATTTCCTTACTGGTTTTTAGTGTTTTATAAATGCCTAAAGTGAAATCAGCTGATTTAGCGAGTGAGAATGAATAAAGCGGAAATGGGCTATTTTTGGTACTTTTTACAGTTGCGGCATGTGATCATTTCCATGCAGTGAACTTGAAAATTATACAGCTGTGGAAAATATACAAGTGTTTCTTCAAAACAAATTACCATTTTTTATCTTTTGTGTCAATTGTTTTGAAGTGGAACAGATTTTTCTATAACCGTGGAGAGCACAGTCACCCCAGCCTTACACTTCTTTTCTTGGAGCATTGATTTTACAGCAATTTGTATTGCAGCATTTTATATTGAGTTTATAAAATTTACTGTGCGGCTCATTATAAAAGCCATACAAATTATATTCTCGGTATGTATATTTCAATTCATCATTATGTTCTGTAGGCCTGTGATAATGACAGATGTAGTGGTTTACAGGATATCCATTTTGGAGAGAAGTTCAGTCGTGAATTTGTGGACGCCCGAGAAAACCATGAAACTGCCGAAGGCTTAATGAACCTTCACAACAATGAGGCGGGAAGGAGGGTATGTAATTTTTTTAACATTTAACATAATTATTAATTAGGCACAACGTAATGCATATTAATGTTTAAACTAGTGTACATGTTGCTCGAATTCGAGCAATCGTAAAGTATTACAGGATTTGCAAACCAATAACAATCATACTTAGCTATCAACATTTCAACAAAAACACACCTACCTTCCCTGTAGCAGCAAACCTATAAGTACTCATATTAAAATTAACTTAATGTTATTTAAATGGGAAAAAATTACCATTTTCAGGGAATATCTTTGTATTAATTAATCCAGGTAAATGGAAATTCCCTTGGTCTGAAGGTTTCCTGCGGATACACAATTTTAATAACAGCAAAGATTGAAGAATCTGAATTATTACTTATATCCATGAATTTATCTAACAATTATTTCCTGTAAAATATTATTACAGCAGTTCAAAAATATTGAAACAAACTCGATCAACAAATGATGTAACTGAAAGAATTCCATACTAATGACATTAACATAGTTCGACAGTTCAATTTAATCAATGTTAAATGTTTACATTCGGGCATAGACAAAAATGATTCGGGCGAGTGACATATTTTATTAATGTTTATGATCCTTACTGTTCCTGTTCTAATAATCATGCAGTATTTAATATGTTTGAACCAGCTGTGTGGAATTGTGAAATCAAAATTAGTTTGACAGTTAGTTCTGCTTGTTTACATTTTTAAATTTTGTGGGTTTGTTCTTTGTTACCATGGATACCATCAATAAATATTTCACTCTTTATTTCTGACAACAGCTGGAGTTCCATAACGCCTCTTTCACACGAAGCGGCGCGCGCCGTACGGCGTCCGCCGCGCGGCGCTGCGCCGGACAAGCGTGTGTCTTCACACTAGTACGGTTTCGTGCGGTGCGCGCCGTACGGCACTCCTAAATATTTATTATTTTCTGTTCAGTTGTGGCTTTTAAATGAATACTCCACTTAAAAGTTCAAATTAAATGAAAAGGATAATTTTAAATATAATAAACTAGTGCACCTGTTGCTCGAATTTGAGCAATTGCAAAATATTAAAGGAGTTTTTTTACAAAAACTGTCACTATTTCCGTTGACGTGTGAGAGTCAACTCAAAGATAATGTAACCAATCACTCCACTCCAGTTATCGAAACTGGAAACGAACTCACTCTGAAAACGAATGCTCACTCCACTCCATCTATCGAAACTGAAAACGAAAACTCTTGTGTGCATCTTGTGTGTACTATGAACAGCTGTAATTAATACAAATTATTCGTCCGTTTAACTAAACAAAATCTTGTCTTCATAAGATATACATTGGGATTTTGATGGCCTGAGGGGCAAAGCCCGAGGACTTTTACTAATGAATTGGTGAAAGGGGGCGTGTACACAACAAATACTTAATTTTGACACATCGTTTGTAAAAATCGGTTCATTATTAACGGAGGAGTAGTATTTCGTAGAAATCACCTTCACGTATTATATATAAGTATTCGTCATATCTGAAAATATTGTATTCTAGAAGTTAAAAAAAATGTTTCATTACGTATAAATTACTAAATTATTAATTTAATACTAAATATTCTCCTCTAGTTATTAAAGGAAAATTTTTGTTTTAATACTTTAAGTTGGTCGATTTGCATGGGATTAACATAAAAATGTATGTTTTGTAATAACTTTAAATATATTATTTTCCGATACAACGATATATAATTTCTTAATTAACTGTTGCACCCTCTTGGTCAGGTAGTTTGCCTAAAATGAGGCAGTGTAGGGGTTGGGCCGTGCGGCGCGCGCCGCACCGTGTGAAAGCTCCCATAAGAACCAATGCACCTTCACCGAGTTGTCCGGCGTGGACGCCGCGCGGCGCTGTCGTCCGGCTCAAGGTGCATCCGGCGGTAACTCGCGCGCCGTGCGGCGAATTCGCCGCGCGGCGCGCGCCGGACATAGTGTGAAAGGACTCATATACTCCCATAGCCCTACGCCGGATCCGGCGGGCGCCGCACGGCGCGCGCCGCGTCTTGTGAAAGAGGCGTAACAAATTTTGTTTCCCATGTTAATCTTATGGATAAATACAAAACTTTAAAGGGCCCCAGGCCCTCACTCTCTAATTATTTCCTTAAAAAGAAAGTTTCCTGCACAACTTCACGTTACGCTCTTTCCAATGACACCAAAAACATGTCAATTGGTTCAGTAGTTTCGGAGGAGTAATTGTCACAAAAAATCTGCTTGCGTATTAAATAAGTACTAGTGTACATGTTGCTCGAAATCGAGCAATAGCAAAGAAGTACAGGAGTTATTTATAAACAAATGACTTGTTTAAAAACTAATAACAGTCATAATTTCCGATGATTTTGAAAGAGTCGACTAAAAGATAATTAACTGATGGCAATACTCACAATTTACATACCAGTCTTATTCCAGTTTAAAGGGTTATTTTTTATTTATCAAACTGCTCATGGACGGGAAAAGGTAAGCTTACAATTTAAGTCAACGTAAAAAAGCTGTCAGCTTTTATAATGTACCGTATCTAAGTTATTTAGCCAATTTGTAGACAATAAGGTGTAGGCTACTTTAAACTCTACAGAACAGAGTTAGGCAAAAACCGGCAGAGCTCTAAAATTGTGTTATTTATCATAGGCATACTCATATGCCAAATTCTTAAAATAAAAATTCAATAATTAATAACTTATATCATAGACTAACCAACACTAAGGGAGTATGTTTTATCTATGCTTATATCATTAAACACAAACCAACATCCAAAACTATACACATTTTTAATACAACATAGATAATTATTTACACATTACTGTTTACAATTAACATATGTTCTTTTTCTCACTTTTAATTGTTGCTTCGCAACGGGAAAGATCGGTTTCATAATCATTGAAATGGATTCATAATAAATAATCTATCATCAAGTTTAAGATTAAATAAACCTACCACATAGTTGTTTTATTTTTTTTTATCAGCTGTCTGAAATTGTGAAATAGGCATTTGACAGTTCTGGTTGTTTACATTTAAATGTCAAAGCAAATGTAAATATTGTGAATTTTCTCATGCTTCCATGGAGACCAATTATTAATATTTAATTTCTGACAACAGCTGGAGTTTCAAAACAATGTTTGTTTCCCATGTTAATCTTATGGAGAAATACAAAACTTTAAAGGGCCCCAGGGCCTCACTCTCTAATTATTTATCTAAAAAGAAAGTTTCCTGCACAACTTCACGTTACGCTCTTTCCAATGACACCAAAAACGTGTCAATCGGTTCAGTAGTTTCGGAGGAGTAATTGTCACAAAAATCCTGCTTGCGTATTAAATAAGTATAGATAGATTAATAGGCATTACATGCTGATAACGAATAGTTTTTGAATTTCAGCATTAACTTCTAAACAACTGAACAAAAAAATTTAATATAATTCATTAAAGGAAGTAGACAAAATAATTTTTCTGGACACTTGAAAAACACACAATAATTGATACAAAAACCATACAAAAGAGTTGTAATCGATGCCGTAAACCCACAACATCAAATCAAAACATCAATATTTCAAAAAATGGCATACAGACTCCACAATGTTCCACTAAGTCCATAAAATTACACATAGAACTAAATATAATGAAACACATTATTGTAGCCGATGGATACATAACACATCATAACACCATGTGAGTTTTCTTCAACAGTTTTTGAATTTAATATACAGTACAGCTTTATGTTCAGAAATTATCATTGCAATACAATATCTTTAGGGATGGATAAATGTATATGATTAGAAAAGTTTTGATTATGACCAAATGAAATATCAGGTGCTTTTCCAGGGCTTAGTAGTTATTTGGGAGTTTTAGATATCACCCTGTTTTGTAACCAATAACAAGAGCTGTGGATTTTCTACTCCTTAAAATATCGTTTTCAAAAACACTATTTTTATTCGCAGATAATCCGATCACAGATGCAGCGAGTTTGCAAATGCCACGGAATGTCTGGCTCATGCAGTGTGCGTGTTTGTTGGCGAAAGCTGCCCTCATTCCGTCAAGTCGGGGACATTCTCACGGCCAGGTTTGAAGGAGCCTCGTACGTAAAAATGGTGGAGAAACGCCGGAAAAGAGTGAAAAAATTACGAGCTGCCATCAGAGAACTTAAACAACCTAACAGGACAGAGCTCGTATACCTTGAGGAATCACCGGATTATTGCGAGCGTAACGAGACGTGAGTATAATGTACTTTACAACATCGCATTTAACAAATTTTTTATCAGCAATTATACAGCTTGGGAAAAAACTATGTTCAGTGTTATCTTCATGAATAGTCTCTTCCACTATCACACACTGTAGATTTGTGGTGTTTGGGTGATGACCGTGTCAAAAGCGATGAAATACCTCTGTACACCGCCTCAATTTAGAGTACCTTCTGCAATATCTGATGGCTGACTCCCACACAGATGTATCAAGTGTTGTTTTCTGGTAGTGAAGATAACTCTAGATTAATTAAGTAGACATGGTTTTTAAAGGAAAGGTCATAAAGGCCTAGGAATTAATTTAGGACGAAAGATTCCATATACAACTTAATCGTAGAAAGGAGTTGCAGGAAGTTAACAAAAAAATTCACAACACAATAATTACTGAGATGATATCCAGCCCCTATGTGGCTATAGGAACAAGCAAGGAGGATAAGGTGGGTTTTGAAGACTAGAAGAAGAGTAGGAAGAATGTGTTTTGCATGCTAGAAGTCGATGGGAAAATTCTACCTCGTACCAGATTTCTCCCTCTGAAACCCGCCAAATTTACTAGACTATAAGATCAGTTAGGTATCCGACTCATAACAAGTCCACTTTACAAATATTTTGTATTCTTTTACAGATTTATTTTCAGAAATTATAACATCTTACTTGACAGGTATAGATAAATTAAGGATTATGGGTAAATTAGAGCAATTGCGACCCAGTATAATTTTTTATTTTAGTTTGGAACTTTTTATGAAAGAATGCAAACAAATGTTGAGTCGTATTAAAAGTTTCACAAATCATGATGCTGTTTACAGGCTGGGAGTGCTGGGTACGAGGGGTCGGCTTTGTAACCGAGGCAGTCCGGGACTGGACGGATGTCGTCTGCTGTGTTGCGGCCGAGGGTACCAGACGAGGGTGAAAGAGGTGGAAGAGAAGTGTCACTGTCGCTTCGTCTGGTGTTGCGACGTCAAGTGTGACTTGTGTCGGTACAAGAGAGAAGAACACATCTGCAACTGAACGTCCTCCGATGTTCAGAACACTTTTGCGATCTGTCATTGTGTTGTATTTTCCGGTGTTCTACGCCAGAACACATGTACAACTGAATGTTGCCACATTTTGTCCTTCATCGAGAACACTTTTGCTACTGAAATATCTGTGTTTTAATTTTAGGTCAAATGGTCTTTTCACACACTCCTTTTGACTACATTACATTTTGGGAGGTAAGGGAACTCTTACCTTTTTTCAAGTAACCTAAATATCTACATTTACCTAACCACCCTATCCAATATCTAAAGTAGATCGTTAGGTAAATGTAGATATTTAGGTCACTTGAAAAACAGAGTACACTTGAAACGTAATGTTAGTCACACTTAGCGTAGGAAAAGTCCATTTTACCTTAAACTATGTATGTCTGCCACTGCTACGTCACACTTTCCATGCTCCATTCCAGAACACTTGTAACAAAACATGATTGCCATGACACATGCGTTCTCTACTCGAACGGCTGCAGATGATTGCCATAGTGTTTCAATGTTCTTCTCTCTGAATTGTTCTCAAGCTTCAATCTGCTAATACACTAGAGGTGGATTGTAAAGATTAAAAATAACATTGTTAAGGACAAAAAAATGTGTTTTTAACAGAAAACTTCAAGACATTTGGCCCTTTTGAGAGTATTTAGATTTCCAGAAATGGTGCTGGCTACAGTTTACCAGTCTTAGTGAGCAAAGCTATACAAGGCATCATTCCATCCTTCACTCATTAAGCAGAGTTTACATAAGGCCAGTAGAGCAGGCAGGTTACCTGTCTCTAATGTATTTCAAGTTACCTGAGGAGGTGGCCTGCGCTGCTTGCCAAATTTGAATTCAGGTAACTTGAAATACATTAGAGGCAAGTAACCTGCCTGCTCTACTGGCCTCAAGTACACGCAGCTTTAGGTTTAAAATAAACCCTCGTAGTGTAGTTGTATCACCCATTGTAACTACTAAATTTGCTAACTTCAAATACCGTATCTCAACATGTCAATCTTGCGACTGGCACCACTGCTATTTTTGACAAGTAACATATATTGGACAATCTCAACAAAACCTATAACTTTAAAAAAATAACCGTTTCTAATTTGTTTAATACAATTTTGGAAAAACTCAACTGCAAACTTTACAATCTTCATTTTGTCAATCAATATTACTTAACAGTATTTAAAATTCATCTTAGAGCTGAAATCTTTTTTCTAAGAATTTCCGCTCGTTATAAGTTACGCAATAGTACTCGGTTTTACAAATTGACATGAAACTTCAGTTAAGAAGTTACCATAAAACATCATTACTATAGCTGATAAACAAATTCTTGTCTAATTTGAATTCTGTTATGTAGTCTTCGTTCATACTGGACTAAGTAGAAACACTTTATTATTAACTTTAAATTGTTGCAAATACTTTGCATTTATCTGTCTAGTACTCCAAAGAGCTTTGAAACTAGTAGCCCACTGTAACGATCTAGAAAGAATAAATTGAGGTATTTACAAAAATTATATTTAAATGTGATCAAGAGGCTAAAACTCAATAAAATGAACTGATTACTAACTTTATATTTTTACTTGTGACTCAAAGTCCAAGTTTTTTTACATTAAAAATACATCTTTTAAAAGTACGCATACCAGCAGTTCTATCGTGTACAACACTGTGTTAAACTATAAATTAAAATTGTAAGTTTCAATCAGCAAAAATGAACACTTTTCAATTTTTTATTTTTTAGTTCACATTTCCACACAAACAAACTTTTAATTTATTTTAACTACTACATCAGTAACTTTATTAAGTATTTACCAGCAATCTGGCTTTCAAATTACTTGACAAGACATACTTAAGAAATGTCAGTTTCTAGTAAACGTTAGTAGGGTTTTAAGAGGAACGTGCTTCTGTGGCTGATATTTTAGTAATTATTGCTGGATTCAAAACTAAACAAACATTTTTTTTACAAAAATACCTTATTTTGTATTTTAGTGTAGGCAACTCAATTACTTTTTAAAATTATTATTAAAGTGTCCAACTTTTCAGACAGTTAACGCGAACAAATGAATAAGCTATTGAATAAAATTATTCATAAAAACAACAATATTCTCAAAGTATATTCAATTTAAATTCTTTTTGTTATACATTGTCGTAAAAGGCATTGTTCTACTTTCAAGTCCTTGCTGGTTTCTCAACTAACCCCTCCTGTTACTCTTCTGAGTATGTATGTACTTATAATAATTAGCTTTATTACCAAAGATATGTATTTTGTATGAAAGATAACTGTTTGGTAGTATAAGATTTTCTAATTCTTGTAATGATACTATAATGTAATTAAGTTATTACTCTATCTATACTCTTTTTATACAAGTCGATTCCTTTAGTTTTGTTAAAAATAAGGATACTGTATTACTTAGTTTTGTTTTAAAGATTTTTTCTCATATTGTTTATAATTCTTTTAAGACTGATAGGTTTTAATATATTTTTATTCTTTTTTTAAATTAGAATTTTAGTCTATATAACAAGTTAATTTTATATCGTTATGAATATTCCCCTCTCTTTTAAGACTTCTTATAAATTAGCTATGGTAACTGATTAAAATGTAACTATATTTAACTTCAAGACGAGCTCTATAAAACAATAATACAAGATCTTAAAAGAATAATAGGAAATGAAATTTACTCATTTATATTTGCCATTTCACTTAAATACCATAACAAGCTAACTAATATTTTAGTTACTAAAATGATCAAAAACATAACCTAATTTATAAGAAGTTCTACGTGACCTTTGTAAATAACCTTCTGTATAGTCTCATTTATTTATTCTTTTTACATCAGTGATGTGAAAAATTCACTACTTTACCTAATTTATAAGCACTTTTTGTATATTTTGTCATGGCTGTAAAGTAACGTACTTATTTTTAAATATATGTAAACTTGTACATATTATGTGAAATATATGTTGTAATATTTATGATGTTTCATTAACCTGAATTTCAATTACATTCAGATAACCTAGTTCAGGAATTAAGCATTGTGAGTAGCTACTCAATGTTTATAAGTGTAGATTACACCATAGTGGGGCAGAACCAGTCGATGCAGTAAATGACACAATGTTTTACGTTCTTTAGTATTTTTTTATTGCCATATGTTTTTGTTATTAATTTCAATTATTGTTATTTTGTTTACTTTTGTCCTTTCTGAATTCCATTGCAAATTCAGTCCTTTATATTTATAATAGTCTGACATTATTTTCTACAGGTGTCTAGCACCAGTCGCTGGTGTCTAGAGTAAATTCTTTTTGTCGTCCGATCCCGCTCTCCTTTCCTCCTCGCCATCGTACTACAGCGCTCACGCTGTATGCCCTGTAGCTACAACTGCTGTACAACAATGCTATGGGACCATTGTCGTTTGGGTTCTTCCTTGCTCAGTACAAGTACACTTCCGCCACAACATACCAGAGCTAAAAGCGCACGGTTGTCCTGTAAGCTTGTATCCTCTGTATGCTACTTCTCTGTAGTCTGTACATAGTTTCTTATGTTTTAGCTTCTAGTGTGTGTTTACTGCTCAATGAACATAACCGTGAACTTGGACTTCAAATTTGTATGTGCTTATGTAGGTTTGCTATAACCTTTTTGCTTTTATTTTTATGTTTAAACAATGTTAATCTTATACAGGGTGTTCAAAAAAGGTGGGGACATATGTTGCCTAGTGATTCCTTGGGTCAAAATAAATAGAAAATCAAGAACAAGAATAACATTTTTTCCAAAATCATCGCTTTATTAACCGGATATCTGCCATTTTGTATTTTTTACATAAACATTTTTATCTTTGAACATTTTTAAACGATCTGTATGAAACTTGGTATGTATGTTAAGGTAGAAGAGACCCGTGTTAGAAAACAGTTCATCTCGATTCAACCAAAAATTTCAAAATGGCGGCCATTTAAAATTTTAAACTTAAATTACTCAAAACTGGCTGGTTTTATGAAAAAATGGCAAGAACAATTTAATTTACCATTTTTAATTATCTATCTAACAATACCAAGTTCAAAAAGATCAAATAAGAAATAGCTGAAATATTAAGATTTTTAGTTGTAAAATGGGGCAAACCTGACTAGCCCCTTATTCTACCCCATTTTACAACTAAAAATCGTAATATTTCAGCCGTTTATTAATAAAAATACAACAGTTGTATGTGAGTATTTTTCAGTCGTGGAGTTTGTTTGTACATGACATGTATCAAAAAAGATTTTCCAGCACTTGCTTAAACTATAACTATTCCTGTCCTCCTCTTTTGCCTCTTACGTAATTTGTGTCTCTGTGTTTGGCTTTGACATTAGCAAGCATTATGCAGTGTAACCAAACTGATAACTGGTGCTTATGATGTTCACCATATTTTACAAGCAGTAAATAAGTTTATGGAGCATTTAAATATACTAACAGAAAAACTATGAAGTATTAGGGTTCATACAGAAAAGTCTGATAACTATTTCATATATATATTTATTGTAAAAAAGTAAATACAGTACTTACATCAAAACTTTGAAGGTAAATAAATTATGATGGAATTACCCATTTTTTATTAAATCAACATATTTAATCCACTTTGAAAACCTGCTATAAACTTTGTGTACACTTCAACTACAAACTTTAGAAATATAGTTTAATTTTGAATAGTTTGAATTCAACTATTTACCGCAATTGAAGTTGACAACACACTAATGACAAACATATCGCTTCAGGTAAACCCTTGATGATTCGGTTAAACAAAGCATAGAAAAATAGGAATTTCAGTGATCACTTGAGCTTGAAGAGTGGTACAGTAAATTTCTGAAAGTCTGAGATTTTTTTGTTTTTTATGGTAGTGAGAGCATTATCCACCATGTCAGCGACGTCCCACTTGTCGTTATAGGGTAGACTGATAGTTTGGGACAATGGGAGGATTTCTGAACTGCTAGTGTAGGCGGAGAGGAGACGATACGATGGACACACTCTGGGAAACATCGACGGTAGAGTCACCTCCATGACGCAAACATACCTGTGATCAAACTCAGATCAACATTTGCCGTTTAGAAAAAAACATGACTAGTGGTGGCACTTTCATACGAGCCTACAGCCAAAGTAAAAAAAATTACAATGAAGTCCTTTGATGTAAAAAGCAAAATCTGTGTCCTCCAAAAAAGTTCAATATAGATTGCAAACGTATGGTATTAGAACTTGCCCGGAAGTAGAAATACCTCAATGCTACACTCGTCAGTGCAACACCTAAGCCAAGTGAGATATTATGCCATTGTAGGCCGAAAGGGTCGAGTACCAGTATAAGCACACAACACTAGCACTTGTTGGTTATCTTAACGTAGTACTTAAGAACATGACTACTATTCCTAGGCAAAGTCCGGTGACGGGCTAAACATGACGTTAATGGGTTAAGGTAGGTACGATTTGATACCTACCTGTCTGTTTTGATTGAAACACGTTAACAAGAACTCATAATGTAGTTACCATATCATAGCACCATAACCCTGGAGCCCAATAT